CTGAAGCCAAGAAGACAGAAAGCCCCGTACACGGATGTGCTTGTGCATTTTAGCATACTGTACTTTACTTTATTTTACGTGCAGCATTTAACTTCATTTAAAACACGTGTAACTCGATTGTAGAGGATAAGCTGTCTACCTGTCTTTTTATTTAAGGATTATTCTGTATGCCGTGCCAGCGCTGTGGCTAACACATTTTGACTAAATTGGTTTTACGTAATGTAGCTTCATTTTCTTCTAAATAAATAGCGCGTGTCATTTTCCCAACATCCTTTGAGAGCCCCTTTATAGTGGGCTGTTAACAGCTGGTTACACAGTGTCGGGGAAACATTTCACCAGTCTCTTCCTAAAGCACCAGACATATGTAGATACATGCTACAAATATACATATCTATTATTTTGACATCATTAGTTATAGTTTTAGATCTAGTTCGTTCTTTATTTATTTATTAATAGATTTTGTCTACACGTGACAACTAAAATCTGCATGACAACATGATGTCTTCAATCCTCATAAAGCTAAAACCAGTGTATTAGTTAAAAAGTTCTACTATGCTATTATGTGCTAGTTACACGCATATATACATATATAAATATGATAAATCTCATCTTGCTCACGAGCGCATAAAACAGCACTCACGCTCAATGAGTATCAGGGCTGCACTTGAGACGTAGTTAACAAGAACTCGTACACACTCAAGATTAAGAGAGTTTTTCTAAAGCAGCCTGACATTCATTACATTTTATTACACAATAGAAGAAGAGCAACACGAATACTCCAGAAATCTGAACTTGCTCCTTGAAGTTTGCCAGAATAAGTGGTTTAAATGATATCCAGCACAATTAAATGATCATAGTCTTCACTTAATTACTACAATATAATTAAATATTCACCGGCACACATGAGAGTGCATATAATTAAAACGCTTGCGCGCAACAAAAGACAATATCTCTGCCACACTGTTATGTCTGCTGGGCAGACACGTGAGAGCCGAAGCCATTCCCCAGCACCTTCACCTGTAACGTCCTTTTTCACAACCCAAAGAAACAGCTGTCCGCTTCACAGTCAGGAACCCATAATGCACCGGGAGCCCCTGTGCATGCCTGGTGTTGGGGTTTAATTGGATATTAGTATCCAGCAGTGTCTGAATTAATCAAATCATTTCCATCCATTAATTTAGTGGAGGAACATACAATTAAAGCCTTATTAGCGTGCTCTCAGGAGTATGCCTTTTCATCCCTCTGCAGAACATTGAGAGTTGGCCAGAGTCCAGCGTGAAGCCTTCTCCTTGCTCGAATCCGGTGCCTCTTCACGACGTGCTCTCATTTAATCTATAGAAACCGGCTGCGAGTTTAAAACAAATGAAAGTGTCTGTCAGCGCTGGGCAACTTTCCTGTTGCTGGGCTGAAAGCTACAAGTTTCAGGAAGGGCTTATTTAAATTGAAAAAAGCATTGTTGGCTTCGAGTTGTTGGATTATGAAATTATAAGGTTAGCACTGACAAGTTTTAGAGAAATTCTATGTGGTGAAAAATTGCTGTGAAAACCAACACAAAAATGCCCTAAATAGGGTGAAAAGAGATTTGGAGATTTAGGCTGTGAGCAAACATAATCCAGAGCCCTAATGTAGGTCATTTTATGATCATTACCATATTTATATATCTTCAAAACTGCAGCGCACTATTTTTTTTCCTCAAAAAAATCAAATAAATACAGAAATGATACATTTATAACACATATATTAAATGAACATCTCAGCATTCAAGCTTCTAATAACATGCAAGATTCCATTCTACTTTATCCTAGCATTAGGTTTAAATTAAACATCACACAAATACAAATATTCCAGGACTCCTTTTTCCCCCTTCCTCCTCTGTTCTGAATCTAAGTTAAAACATTTTGCACAAAGTAATCCAGACTGCTCAGATGAGCAGCCATTTTTAATTAAAACCATTTACAGAGGAAACCAAAGTGAGAAAAAAAAGAGCCAAGGGATTTAACACTCTGTCATCCAAGGCTTCAGCGGATCAAAGAGTTTTAGTTGTGCTTTTTAATGGTTACGTAACATTTTTGCCTATGAAATATTGGGCCCGGGTACCATGCAGTCAGTCCAAAGCTGGACGGTACCACAGATTTTCCCGCAGTGCTCTTTCAAATTTCAGGCAGGATACACTAAGCCTGTGTTTATGCCTAAGTATAGCTGTCAATCAATGCAGCACCAGTAGTACAACAGGAAACTGAAAGAAGGCAGTAACCTCTGAAGAAAAAACGCAGTCTTGCCTTCTGCCTAATGCATATATATATATATATATATATATATATATATATATATATATATACACATGTGTATGTATACAGTATGCGTGCGTGTGTGTGCGTGCGTGCATGTATTGTATGTACACATGTATATTTGCATCTGTCTGCTTCCCTGTCTGCCTGACTGCCTGCCATGTGGCCCACCTCGTACTGTCATCCTGTCTGACATTAGGGCTAAGCTGGATCTCATTAGGACCAAGGTGGCAGTGATCCCGTCAACATCGCTTTGGCTCCTGCCATATGGGTCGCCTCCAAGGTAACCGGGCTGTATCAGTCTCCTCAGAGCTGCAAGCCTTGTTATAGCACATGCACAAACAAGCAGACGCAGTATCTACTTTCTAGGCAAGTGTGTACGTATGAAGCTGAAAAGCGCGTCAAACGGGAGAAAGCGTGTAATTTTGATATGATAATCAGGCCAAATGTTTTAGATGAAAGAGAAATAAACACTGTCACAGATACACACAAGGGCAGGCACAGAGCACAGAGTGCTTGCTATCTATGTTTAACACATAAAAGGACAAAAATTACACCAAGACAAAAACATTTTTTGTGAACAAGGTTAAAAGGAATTCATCGGGTTATCTTGTGTCACTGAATGATGGTTATTATAAGTACATAAACTTTTAATACAGGGGTGTCAAACCCATTGTAGATCACAGACCACATGCAGCCTAATTTGATTTAAGTGTTATATTTCTTTCAGTGTGCATGGACTAACTATTCATGTTTAATGAACCCTCCGTTTACACAACAGAAGATGAGCAGAATTTTAAGGAATCTTAAGAAATTTAAGTGCAATTTCAACCTTTTTTTCTGTTTTTCCACATCAGTCGGATTACATTCATTAGAAACAAAACACCAGCGTCGGCACGGCTCTTTGCCTTAACCACCTTCCCCTGAAGGCGTATGGCTGGCTAAGGGTAACGTCTTTGTCAGTAAGCAGGCTGTAAAAACGATGATGTTTCAGATCTTTGTCTCAGATTAAATTAACAGTCCAGACAATCACTCCCATAACATGAGCCTATCTTAACGAGCTGCAGACAGAATACTTCCTGGTGCAAAGCGCACTGAAAAATGCTGCTCTCCTTCTCCACGATTTTCACTTCCGGCGGACCCTTTCACGAGCCTGTTCTGGCCCGCTCACCTTGTGTTTGACACCTCTCTTTTTAAGGTAAATTCTAAACAGAACAATCAACCCCTTAGAAGCAGTAGCAATTTTATAGATTACATTTATATTCTGCAGTAAATCATACTTCTAGTGATGACCTAATTGAATATCCAGTGATCAAGCACTTTATTATGCCAGCTTTTTCTAAAATAATTTCCCTCCCATCTGAACAATAGTAACTGAGCTGAAGAAAATGATAGAAAACGGCCGAGAAATCAAAAAGATCTGCAGAGGGGGTTTTTTTTCGTTTGGTTTTTTTTTTTTTATTAATTCAATCAAGAAAACTTTTGATCTAATACATGTCCATTACGGGGTTCTGTGCAACATCTCGGCCCGAGCTCAGCTTGGACTTGGCATGATCAGTCAAACATAGCAAAGCAATGTACATCAAAATCCCAGCGGAGGCTCGGATACAGTGCTGCACTTATTTTACAGCAAGCGTCTGACTTTTATCAAAAGCGATCCAAGTAAGCAGGAAGTCATTTATGGTTTTGTTTAGTGCGTCTTTGCTCGAGCTCATAAAACCTGTGAATTTATGACATCCCCAAGCATAAATAGATTATAGCAAAGTGTATTTTATAAAGCACTAGGAGGCACTCTCTGTTATTTAAAAACATTTATAATACGTGCAAATTCTCCATATACCACAAACCATTCTTTGACTTACTGTAAATAAACAGCAGCATCCGTCACTGTTAGGCGAATATAGCAATGTATTTTCAGCAACACAACCGTGTGTTTTATGGCCTACGGTTGTGACATTCACTATTATTAATCGTGCTGATAATTCACCTCCTTCACATGCAGCCGGGACAGTAGAATACACTGGAACCACAACAACTGTGTCAAAGTTCCACTATGTCAGATTGGCGGCTGTTATAGATTTTTTTCCCCCCTTTGGCCTGTTTGTTTTGTTCCACCCCCTCCACCACCACCCTCACAAAAATCAACTGTTTATTTCATCAGTTTGGCAACCAAAGCCTGTGATCAATCATTCATAATTTATAATGCTGCCAAAGGCCTAGGGCCCATAAAAGCAGATATTTGCATTACACAAGGTCTCAGCTAGAACTTCTGTTAACAGACCAATAAATTTTGTTATTGTACGTACACACAGGCCCCTGATAAGAAGCAAACTTTGCCTCTGTTTTACAGTAGAACACAGGCCTGTAAGAAGAGAGACGATGATGTTGTGGTCACATGCTGCTACAACAATGACCTGGACCCTATCCTTTAATTCCTGTTCCCCCAGCCAGCATTCCGCTGCCTTTCCCAAGCCCTGTTGTTGTTGTTATTATTTTGCACTTCTCAAAGCAAACGCCCTAAATCCCCTGTGCAACAGGAGTCCCATTACAAAAAAACTAAACAAAAAACTGGCTCTCCATCTATGGGAGACTCTGGAGTGGCATACTATTATACAGGTACACTGAAGGGAAAAAAAACCCCAAACATGATTTGATATTTACACAAAACAGGCACACACAGAGACTGCCTAAATACACCTTCTTCTTCCTTACCTCGACATGCCGTCCGAGATGCAGTTCTGACCCGGATATCCTTCACCTCTGGCTGCGAGAGACCCCTGGGATATGCCCGGGTGAGATTTCCACGACTCCATTAACGCCGTTACGGGTGAAATTAGATTCAACAAAGGGTTGGTCTGGTCCCTCACATCGTGCCGCGTGAAAGACATTGTTCCTTGCGCTCCAATCTGGTAATGGAATGAGTGTCCACCGGAATTAACTCCAACAATGGCGGATGTGGACATGCTGTTATTCTCTTGGTAATAGCTGCCATCTGTGGCTTCCTGCTTAACCCCTTTAGACAGGACATTGTTGGAGAACACATCAGACTCATAGTTCCCATTCACAGAGGAGACAGGGGGTCCTAAGATACCGGAAAGACTGTATTCATCAATGTTATTCCTCAGGGACAGATAAGTGGTCTCAGACGCAGAGAAGAGGCCAATCGATGGTGACTGCTCACCGTAGGGCTGTTGATTCATACATCCCTCACTTTTGTTTGGCTCACTCTTAATCTGCGTGATAAAGGGCGTGTTGCTCGCGTTACATTTGGAGCTGCCTAAACACATGCTCCTGAAGTCAGTCCCAGGCTCGTTCTTTATGTACTTAACCATCCCCATCTGATCTAAGCCGACATTGAACACCTCCCCATCTACCATCTCTACTTTAGGGAACTCGAAATTCTTGAAGTCCGTTTCTCTGGTCAGCCCTGCTTCCGGGCTGCTCGTGTCATTCTGCACCAGACCCAGTCCGTCAGCAGGACTGGACACAGGAAACCCACCAGAGGAGGGGTTCTGTGGGCTGCTGGCAGTCATGTTGCCTGCTGTGGCCGGACTGGAGATGGAGGGCATTGCTGTGTTGCAGTTGTTGGTGGTTTTGCTAGAGCAGCTGCCAGCTGTTGGGCTTGAGACAGAGGACCTAATGTTACATGTAGTGCTGCAGGATGGAGGGGATCTCACACTACTCATGCTCTGAGGACTGGACATGGGAGACCTCATGACATTGAGCGGGCTGGTGAGTGGCGGTGAGCCCACGGTGCTGGACTCCACAGGGCTACATGTGACTGAATTCCTGCGCTTGATGTTGGCTAGAGTTGCAGCACACGAAGTCTGGCTGACAGGGCTACTGACAGACGAGCACAGAGGCGCAAAGCACGTAGGAGGACTGGTGGTAGACGACACCATATTGTTGCTGCCTCCGGGGCTGGAAATGGCACTGGAGGTTTGGGGACTGCAGGACAGAGAAGAGGCCAGCATAGATGCTGAGCTAACCGGGGTCCCCGCGGTGCATTCTCTGGGAGTCGCGCTAGGCTGCTGGAAACCAAATGGCTTCAATTTGGGGCTCTTTGTGGGACCACATTGGTTCTCCTCTAAAGGCCGTCCACATGCTGGATACAGCTTTCCTGGGCTGGTATTGGCTCCCTGCTGGTTAAAAGCAAAATCTGCCTCCCTGGCAGCATTCATATACAGGCCCATAGACTCAGCCACAGTCTTGGAAAGCTCTTTGGAGTCCATTTCCTGCTTATGACCAAGGAGTGAGTTGTTGAAGTGTGGGAGAACAAATGGCTGGTTCTGGCTGAGCTGCAGCATTGGCTGCTCCTGCTTTTTTGTATTGTTGTCTTTGCAGTCGGTGGCCGGGCTTCCAGCAGGGCAGTTGACATTAACTATGTCCATCAGGATATCACTGCCAGTCAGACTTGAATCCTCTGTACTGCAGCAGTACTCCATAGTGCCAGGGACCTGAGGCCATCTGTTCTCTGTGTCCTTTCCATCAAAGAAACTTTGGTATCTTTTGGTCTCCATTGCTGGCTCATTGAGTTACCTAGTAAACATGGCAAACAGACAAAAAACAAACAAAAACAGGGTCAGTCGAGCTACAATAGTTGGCAAAGGTTTTTAAGAGTATTACTTTCTGATAAAGAGACTATGTAAGATTACGTTACATATTAAAGGATTATGCAATTTTATTTTCCTTTAAAATCTAATCAGTCTCCTGTTTATAGCTTATAAAAAGTTGCACTTAAGTGAAACCTAACAAGGCAGAAAAAAAAACAATGTGGAGGAACTGAAAGATTTCTGAGTGTGAAGCCCCTGTTTGATTGTTTTATTTACACGTGCAACATTTTTTAAGATTAAAGTGTCTCATATTTTTTTAAACAAGTTAAATCTAATAAAGTCCAAAATAAATCTGTACAGTATTTCCCTCTCACACATGATTCAAACCCCTTATCGGCGCACTACAGGGAATGCAGCGATAACTTAAAGAAACCCAGACCACAAGGGTTAATTTATCTGTATGTGACGTCGCCTGGGCTTTTTTTCTTTTTATTCCCACCTCTACTGCGTCTCTATTGGCCAGCTCGGCCAGAAATCCAGCAGCTTCATCAGGCCCCATTCATGGATTGGCCCGAAAGCTGTCACTCAATAGTTATCGCTCATGCAGCCACAACATTGCTGCGACACAACTTGAACTGTTGTTTTAGGCAGCCGGAGCGGCTTCCCTGTGTGCTAAAAACGATTCAACATCACTGGGAACAATCGGACGATAAAACACAACAAATTGCATTGATTTCTGGCTGGTTTGGAGTTAATGTTCAAGCTATTTATTTTGCATGCAACGGTGCAAGTCCGCGAAGGGCTCGCAGTGAGCGGCCGAGATATCGGCGTTAAAGTGTTGCTGTCTGCAAAAAAAACAGGCTGTCCTGTGCACATGTGCAGAGAATTTGAAAGTAAAACAAGAAAAAAAGGGGGAAAAACCCGAACAGCTGTCAGACTCATAATTCCCCTCCTTGTTGTCCTGCCGCGATCGCTCTGCCTTTGCAGGACATGCACAAGTCTGCATTTTGCGTGTGCGCAGAATACAAAAAGTAGATGAAAAAAGAAGCCAAAAGCCCGTCCGTCTGCTATATTGTTTCCGTTTTTTACTCCTTTTTGCTTTAAAACTCGCATGTATTGCTTTTGAATGATTACGTCCACTACGATCAAAGTATGAATTATTTAAGCCACTTTTTAGACAGAATTTGACAGCCCTATATATCACTCTCCGCAGACAGGTGAGCGCATGTACGTTAAATCCACGAACGCTGCTCTAAATCACGGTGGCGATTTCCTAAAGTGCATAAACTTCTTGGCCACTTTTATTAAAGAGCAGACACGGAGGGGAGAGGCTAACGGTCCCGGTTAAAAGTTATTATTTTTCTCCTCCACAGCACCAAGGCCAGTGTCCGTAAGTATCCAGTTCTCCCGACACCAACTGCGAGGGGGACTTGCTTTCATTATCACCTCGAATTAAAACTGTACAGTTAAAACACAGGGCTCCGTCCGTCCTTACCTTAATTACGACATTCAGAGTTGTCAGGTGGCTGTGTTGCTGGGCAGCGATAATCCAGAGGACAGAAAAAGAAAAACGCAAAAAAAAGAAGCAAAGTCAATAAATATCAACCAACGTGCTCTCCGCCCCCCACCTCCTCACCCCTCTACTCTTTCCAATACATTGTTGCCAGTTTGACAGATAGACACACCGGAGAAGTCTACTGCGTATTATCACTAGTAATCCTCAACAGCGAGCCGCTGCTCCTGACAGGACGAAACGACAGCGATGGGTCGGACGGCAGCGACGGATAATCACACTCACATTATGGCCGTAAGAAAAAATTTTTTCCCAAGATTGACGATTCTGGAAAAGAAAAGAAAAAAAAACAGAAGAAGAAGAGTAATTAAAAACAAACGAAGGAGTCGAGTCGGACTTGCAGTCAGAGCGACGTCATTCTGTGCACATGGACCCTCCTACTGCAACGAGTGCAACACAAACTCCGAGGAGGAGGGAGGTGGTGGAGGTGGGGGGGGGGGGGGGGGGGAGAGAGAGAGAGAGAGAGAGAGTGGTAGAGGGGGAGGGAGGGGCTCGGAGCGCAGGTAGACGGAGCCGTCTGGAAATAGGGCACCGAGCTGTGTGAAAGAAACTCGTGTGATGGCGACAGTAAGGCTTTCGTGATTTCACTTTTTCTTCTTCTTTTTTTTGTCTGTTGAAGTCTTGCAAGTTTGTTACGTTATATTTTCTCTCTCTCTTTCTCATTTGTGACTTTTCAATATTAGTCATTTCTGCCAACTGACACTTCGGAGATCCCGTCACGGTCACGCACAGCAATTTTAGATCACAGGAAAGTATTTCAGGTGCTTTCCCCGCACGACCCCCCTCCTCGCGCACGGTGAACGTGGAGCTCATGAGACCCTCGCGAGTGCTGAGAGAAGAGTGAAATCAAGTCGGCGAGAGCGTGACGGCTGCCCCCCACTAGATGGAGATGCTGTTCAGAAACAAATTACAGAGTGGTCAAGCTGTCACTTAATTCCGTCCATGTCAAACTATATTAGTAAAAACAAAAAACGCTTTAATCTCTAATGAATCCAAATGCACACTTTCTGCTTTTGCGTGTTAGACCCGTAGCTTTCTTTCCACATCATCTGTCTTCTTAAAGAAGAATATAATAATAAAAGCCACAAACAATGTTTCCTATCTGAGTGTGGACATTCGGACACCTTTCTTTTAAAATGAAGTGCAAGACATCCACTCATCCCTGATGGTGACACATCCGAGTCCATCTGGTCACTGCGTGTTCACGCTGTCTCGCTGGCATGATGATTACAGTGCATGGTTAACGTCCATAGGTGCCTTCACTCGAAAGTAAAAAATAATCAAATAAATGTTCTCAGGTTCGTGATTTGTGACTCTGTCATCTGGATTAAGCTGCTGTTTACATTTCACGACCCACATCTCATGGTGTTGACTTTGGTTTTACTCCAGCAACATCCAATAATCAGTTTAATCTGTGGAGTTGTCAGTCACACTTTGTAGGATTTTTTTTTTTCATTTGACTGCATAACAGGCAGCGTGTAGGGGTTTCCACTGTGAGGGTGGCACTTTATACAGTAGAATAAAGTTCCAGCGTTTCTCTTCTTTGCTTTTCTGGATACTCCATACCAGCCTGTAGCCATTTCTCAAGCCAGGCAGCAGCAGTTAGATTAGTCAAAGCCAACCAAGCAACACTGCCCGCCTCCCTGATCTGCCTGTTAATCACCCATGAATGGGGACCTGCTTCACAAAAACAGAGGGAAAAAGCGTAGCAGAATTGAGATATAAGCAATGTTTCCCACACCCATTCATGCAGCTCCCACTTGTCCATTGCGCATAATGGGTGCCAGTCAAACACATCATGGGCAAATCTAATTTAGCTTTGCACCACAGATTTTCCTTCCACAGCCACAAAGTCCTAAGAATTTGCAGACTGACAGCAGAACACGGCTGATATGAAATCAGTAATAATTTGCTCCCTCATTGGTAGAAATTGAAGGGAGCCCCCTTGAATCTCTCTGAGCTTCCAAGCACTGTCATTTTAGACAAATCAATGATAATCGCAATAGCCTGAAAACACTGTACATATATGGGAGTTTAAAAATAGCTGTGTTTTGAAGTGATTGGGGGGAGGGTGTGTGTGTGTGTGTGTGTGTGTGTGTGTGTAGGTTTCTCTCAGATGAGTGATTGCCATGATTAGGAGCAGGCTTCCACTCCAGTTTAGACACATAGCAGACAACTCCAGTAGCTGAAAGGCCCAGCTGCAAAACAGAGAAGTGGATGCTGCCCCTCATGGGGACAGGTGAATTGGAGCATGTTAACTCTGAAACAAAACACTCGTCAACTCAACAGAAGACCCTGTCCCCATCGTGTGGTAATTACAGATGTAGTTTTTAATCAGAGAAGAAGTCCATCGCCGACACCCTCCCCCAATCCGCTTATTGTTTCAGTTCAGTTTTCCTCGAGGGTCATCCATTCACAGATAAAGCGACAATGCAGTCGCTCTGCCAGTTACTAAAATATTCCATTACCACCTTTTTTTTCACAACTCTGACTTCATGGGTCGAAATGATGATGTGTTGACTTTCTGTCCAAGAAGTCCATCAGACAAGCGTTTGATCGAGGTTGGCATTTTTACATCCTGGATTCAAAAGCCTTTTTCACACAAGTTGTCTTTGAATATCCGATAAATGCAAGCACTGACTCTCCTTTTGGCTCTACTTTAGTCTCCACCAAGCCCTGAGGGAGATACGTGGCTCTTTAGCTGCAGCTCTGCTTACCAGATAGTTGCAGGTTTTCCTCCACCTGTTTTCTCGTGCTGTTAATTAGATTTAACAGAACGTTTCCACTGAAAACAGCTGACCTTTAACTGCTAATACGATTCCTCAGTTTGAACAAAAGCAATGCAGTTTTTTGACCTCAAGTGAGCTTAAAAACAATAAAAAATAAAGCTGAGGTGAGGGGAAATGCAATTTCTTTTCATTACTATAAACTAAAGGGTGACTATTCACTTAACATTTAACACTTAAGCTTCATTTCTTGCCTCTGTGCAGTCATTATGATTGTGTTCACAGCATCCGTCATGTTTCCGCGTATTATGTCTGTTTGTTCAATGTCATGTGGTAGCAACAGGGCAGAAAGTTGACCACTTCTCATCTGCATAAAGTTGAGGGGTAGGTGACTGTATACAGGAGTGTTTCCCTTAACCCGTACCTCTGATCATCAAAAGATTTTCCAAATAGGAAAACATATTCAGCAGCTGCATGACTCTTGTTTTAGATGTTTTTTAAGAAGCACATTTTACTGGATTACATGAAAAAGTTTGCAAACAGCTCCCCGTGTTAGTTTGGTTTGAAGCAGACAGTCCTTGAGAGGCAATCAACCAGTCAGATGCAGCTCAGTGTTTGTGTGGTAGCAGACTATAAGGCCGGGAGAAACCGGTCAGGCACTGTCTAGTAGCTCACAGTTCATTAGACATGTCTACTTGCCATAGTAAGTTTCTTATAACTAATATGATTGGATGAAAAATCCGTTCTTTACTTTGGCCGATGCAGATTTCAAGATGAGGAGTACATGCTGTCGTATCTGGCTCGCAGACTGAATAACCTCACAGTTGGATGATAAGCCTATGAAGGTCAGACACAGGCATACATACCATTGAATTTTAAATGGGGTTGTTATGGGAACTAGCATGTTTTTGTATCTGAACTCTGCAGCCATGGTCCGTGTAGGCAGGATGTGAAAGAAATTAGCCATGGGCTACTGCAAATGTTAATAAATGTGAATTAACATTGGGAATGAACTCTTTTACATTTCATAATAATAAAGAGAGTTTATGGAGCAAATGCAAGAGAGAGAAAAAAAATGCGAAAATTAATTTGCTAACTTTATCGGGATTCATGCTTTTCAAAGACGATTGATACTTTTATTCACAGTTACCGTGTGTAGTTAAACATTTAGAGGCAGCTAATTAGATTTAACTTTCACCTGGTAATCAAAGTTGACCAGTTCCTGAAATAGTTCATTTAACAGAAATCATATCTCTGTACTGCAAGCATTTGAATAAATGCAAAGTTGAAGAGTTACACAACCAACTTGGCAAGATATTAATTAATTCACCCAAGGGTATAATTACATACTGAATCATTCAAGTATGACTGTATGGGTGTGAAAATTTACACTTATTTAAAATAAAGGCATATTTTACTAATTCTAAGATAGATAGATAGATAGATAGATAGATAGATAGATAGATAGATAGATAGATAGATAGATAGATAGATAGATAGATAGATAGATAGATAGATAGATAGATAGATAGATAGATAGATAGATAGATAGAATGCTATTACGAGTAAATTGCATGTTATGCAAAACCTTAATATGTCTGTTATAACACAGCAGAAATAAAGCTATCTTCCAGCTCCACGTTTTGACACAGATCACAGTTCACCTTAAGTTGGCAGACTGCACGGACGGCACGTATCGTTTAAATCCTGAGCATGTTCAGCCAGCCTCCCTACAGAAAAGTCTCTCGTACTATGTGTACAACACCTGGGGTTTGTTCACCCTACTTAAGCAATAATGACAGACAACACGGCGATGATTAAATAACATGTTTACCCTCAGTGTGGTCAGAAATACATATTCAGTGGGAACACAGCGTATAGGCTACAGCCTGACTTCAGATCAGATTATTAACATGCAGAAAATTATCACTAAATAATGTGTTGTTCAACAAAACTGTGTCAAGTACATTATGAATTCATATTCCTGGTGCCTGCTTGCACCCACCCCTCCCACCGCACCCAACTCCCCCTCCCCCCCACCTCTCGCAGCATTTAGATGCCAAGGTAGAGTGAGCTTTAAGAGCAAATGCCCAGATTGCATTGTGTACATCCGAGTATGCTTTGGTGTTGAAATATCACTTGATTCTGTTGCACAATAAATTTGACACGTTTTCTAATTGGAGATTTCGAGATATATATAAAATATGACATTGTTTTGCAGATGTGCAATAAAAGATGCTAAGCTATAAAGGTTTGCATGCGATAACACCTTGTGAATTTGGCAGTTTTTGTTTGTTAATCAGCTTTAAATATACTCACCACAGACTTTTAAAAAAAAAAATACACCTATCAGGTATCAGCTTGGACCCCATTTTCAGAACTGCCTTTAATTCTTCGTGGGATAGATTCAACAAAGTTCTGGAAACGTTTGGTTCATATTGGCATGATAGCATCACACTGTTTCTGCACATTATGAGAATCTCCTGTTACACCACATCTCAAAGTTGTTCTGTTGGATTGAGATCTGGTGACTGTGGGGTTCAGTAAAATCTTTGTCATGTTCAAGAAACCAGTCTGAGATGATGGTACTAAGGGACCCATAGCTGGACTGGCTGCTGATTTTTTGTTTTTATGGGCCGATGTTTTTTTTTCTCC